GGACCCACCTCGCACAAACTTTACGGTAACGAAGATGATCTGTTATGATTGTGTGGATTGAAGTTCGACAAATATCGATTTCAGGAGGCATTGAGTCCAAAATTCTGTCAATTGTAAAGCGCCTATCCGCCAAAATGATTTTTTCGACTGCTGCGACTGCGTCATCTGTAATGGCGGTTTTTGGCCTGCCTGCACGCTGCTCATCATGAACTTCTCCGCGTCCCTCGAGAAAATATGTACGCCACCGACGCACCATTTGCACACTCATGCATTTGTCACCATAAATATGCACTAATTCAGTGTGAATTTCGTTGCCATTAAGCCCTTTTGCAGTTAAAAAGCGAATAACTGCACGCAACTCACAAGTGGACACGTTTTTCACAGGTAGCTCCATGGTTTCCGAGCCGGTACTGATGAAAAAAATTTTTTCGGCAGCTAAGACCAGTTCCGCTCTTATCGGTATATCCTAAACTAAAACTATGTTCGGTCCCAGCTCGCTAGATGGCGCTGGGGCAAAACGGCAGACTAGGGAAACTTACTTTTTGAACACCCCTCGTATTTGCAGTTACTCGGATATATAGGTAAGAAAGTCATGAGTGTACTATGCGAAGTAGAGGGCCCAAAATTGATATACGAGTACATATAAGTTATACAGACTTTTAGGGCAAGACTGGTTTAATTTACTTTGAAATCAATTTCATCATTTGTATTAAGTGCAGACTAAATTTACCTAATCAGGAGACTCGGTAGTGTCTTCGGCCATGTTAAAAAAAAAGACACTACAAGTCTCTTATCCCGAGTCACCAAAGTCCATTTTTGAGGGTTTACAGAACTACTAAAATATAAAAAAATTTTGAATCGCACATATCCTGAAAGGCGACATCGCCACGAGTAATTTGAGTCAAAGGAAATAAAAATCGGTCAAGCCGAACATTCGATTCTGAACATAAGCGGTCGAAAAGTGATGATTTTCGTGAAAAATGAAGTAACGTCTTCTTCTTCTTCTCTGTCCGCAGTCACATGTATTATATCTCTCTTCTCTTTCATCTTTCACTCACACCTCCAACTTCGACCAATTTTTCCTTCCCCTCCCCTCCTCTCCCATCACCCATCCCCACCATCCCCTTCTTTTTCGCCCTATCTCACTCTCTTTCGTCCTCTCTCACCCTCGTCTGCTGAAAGTGTCCGATGGTCACTCAGGGTCGTGATCTTGACAACGTGAGTCAAGGTCGTATTAGTTTTTTTGTATAACTTCGTAACGCGTCATGGGTGACTGCTACAACTTTCCGAAGGTTGTTCGGTGTGATGATCTTCATAATGTGTGAGAGGGTCAAGGTCATTGGAGGTGAATTGTTCTTCGATGGTCACTAAGGGTCATTACCTGACTATATATATCACGATCAGAATCATCGGAATTGAATTCTCTATTTCATTTTTAATAACTTTTTAACGTGAGATGAGTGATTGCTTAATCTTCCGAAGGTTGCTGGAAACGTAGTGAGAAGACAAGTACCGTATGCCGCAGGTCTATGTTAATAAGTAATAATTCCTGATTGAAAAAAAGAATAAAATTAAGTAAAAATTAACAAAATATGATGAAAAGGCTATCCAAAGTTTGCATATAATTATAAAGAACTGAGACAAATTAAAAATAACAAACGGTATTTTGAGTCCGATTAGGTCTCAATATTATAATTACAAAGTGACAAGTATATATATATATATATATATATATATATATAATAAATAATCACTACTTCAGTTGAAAGAAAAAATGTCTTTGTGATTTAATTGTGATATAATAATTTTATTTAAGAGGAATTTAAACCATTTGGATTGGAATAGGAAGATCCTTCAAGAAGATATAAAGGGTGTCTCAAAATGATCTGACATTTTAAATTGCGCGCCATTTTTTTTGCAGCGAACGTAACGTACTAACCTTTAACAACTGGCATCAGGAAGTATTGAGGTTTAGTCATGGAGAATTACACGATCGAGCAACGCATAGAAATTGTGAAAATCCATTACAAATATGGTGAACATTTTGCAGAGACGGTTCGAAAAGTCCGCACGTCTTTTGGTCATCATAACGCACCATCTCGCAATACTGTGGTGAATTTAATAGAAAAATTTGAGGTTAGTAGCTCACTTTTAACCGCGAAAAGCAGTGGCCGTTCTCGTACTGGTCGGTCGAATGAAAACATAGCCACAGTGAGTGCGAGTGTTGACGAAAGTCCTTCCACCTCGATTCGTCATCGTGCTCAGCAATTGGACATTTCAAGATCCTCTGTGCAGCGAATTTTGACGAAAGATCTGCATTTACGTGCTTACAAGATCCAATTGACACAAGAACTGCAACCAGCAGACCATGCGCAGCGCCGTACATTCGCCAATTGGATATTGGAGCATCAACAAATCGATGGTGATTTTTCGAAGAAAATCATCTTCAGCGATGAGGCGCATTTTCAACTTAATGGGTACGTGAATAAACAAAACTGTCGAATTTGGGGGACTGAAAATCCACAAGTGATCCAACAGCTTCCCATGCATCCACCACGAGTCACTGTTTGGTGCGGATTTTGGGTTGGAGGAGTGATTGGGCCGTACTTCTTCGAGAATGCTGCGGGAAATGCGGTTACCGTCAATGGTGTTCGTTATCGTGACATGATAACCAACTTCTTATGGGAAGAATTGAACGGCATAGACTTGGAAGACATATTCTTTCAACAAGATGGTGCAACCTGCCACACTGCGGACGAAACAATGCAGTTATTGCAGACGAAGTTTCATGGTCGTGTTATTTCGCGCCGCGGCGATGTGAATTGGCCACCAAGATCGTGCGATTTGACGCCATTGGACTTCTCTCTTTGGGGTTTTCTGAAAGGAAAAGTGTATGCCAATGATCCACAG